GTAGAGGCATTTTTGGCTCTTTGTGTTTCAGTAGGTTGAGAAAGTATATGAACAGATACTACATTGTAATAGAGTCAGTAATATTAAAAAAAAAAGGTATAATATTATTAAATCATTAGGAAAAATCTTATTAATTTCGGATATTAATACTATATATTTATATTCAAGGTGAAGTTATAAATAATTAAGTTTTAATAAGTTTAGTTATGTAAATTGCTATGGCATTATATATCGTGGCCTCTCTCTGAGTCATGCTTAGAGAGTATCTCCCTAGCATCCTAGGGTTCCTCTACCCCACTATGGCGGTTTTATTCCCACTACTGCAATTTTCTTACCTCCACGTCTCATGGCTTTGTGTTTATACATGCGATCTGTGCATGGGTATTATAATATGTGTTTCTTGGGCAAAGGTTTTTATCTACGATCATCTCACGTACATTCTCATCTGTATCAACCTAACGTGCGATCTATTTTATGATCTCTGTGCGGGTAAGATCTTCTACGATCTTGTCACGACGGATCCTTTGTGCGATCATCCATTCGATTATCATCCTATGGAGATCAGTGCGATCGAGGAAGGCTATGCGGTGCTATCCCTGGCAGCGGAGGAGACGGGGGCATTGGAAGCCCCCGACATTCATTCGTCGGAAGTAGAGACGGCTCATCACGACCTAGGCGGCCGTTTTCTGACCGATCGATCGATCAAATTCGATCACATGCAACAGGTGTTGGCCTCAATCTGGCGCCCGGTGATGGGGATGCGTGTCTTGCCGATCGACGACAACCTATTCCTGTTCCAGTTTCCGCACTTGAAAGACATGCAACGGGTGATGGATGATGGTCCTTGGTCTTTTGAGAACCATACCCTCGTTTGCGGACAAGTCCCGATCGGAGGTAATCTGGAGGAGGTACCACTCAACGACGTCTCCCTTTGGGTGCAGATCCACGATCTGCCCACGGTTTATGCTTCACCAGATTTATCAATCGCATCGGCGACTACGTCGGTGTCTTCCTTGCAACTGATCCTAATAATTTTGGGGGTGCTTGGAGAAGCTTTTTCAGAATCAGGGTGCGGCTTGACGTGAGTGTTCCACTGAAGAGGCGCATGAAGCTGAGTCGAAAAAATGGTTCAGTGCACTGGGTAAGTTTTAAATATGAACGTCTTGGAACTTTCTGTTTCTGTTGTGGGGTGCTAGGAAACTCTGAAGCGTTCCCTTATGGTTCCTGGATGAGGGCGGGTGCTCGAAGACAAGCCCGTCCAGTAGGGGCGAAGTGGTTACTAGCGGAGCTTCCACCGGCTCCGGCGCGATCACAGGTCTTCAGTTCGGGGGCGGTGTCTCGGGATGTGGTGGCAGTGGAGGAAGGGGGATTGACATGAGAGTCTCACTGCCAGGGAAACCAGAATGGAGGCTTACTTGTTTTTATGGTAATCCTGATCAGTCACAAAGATACATGTCTTGGGATCAACTCCGAGCGCTCAAGGGTCAATCAGATCTTCCCTGGGTCGTCCTTGGTGATTTCAATGACATTGCTTGCCAATCTGAAAAACGTGGGCCGCATCCGCAACCCATGTTTCTCATCGAAGGTTTCAATGATGCATTAAACGATTGCCAACTGAATGACCTAGGCATGATAGGCAGCAAATTTACTTGGGATCGAGGACGGGGTACATCGGGTGGGTAGAATAATGTCTCGATCGGGCGGTGGAAGATTTGCGGTGGTTGGATATCTATGAGGAGGCAGTGGTTCAGAATTTATTAACGTTCTCATCCGATCACAATGCTATTTTTCTCGATCTAGAGGCAAGAAGTATCCGTGCTGGATGGAGGACCTTCAGGTTTGAGTCCGCCTGGGTACTGGAGGAGGGATGCGGTAGGGTGATTGAGCAAGTGTGGAGGCAGTCCGCCGGGATGGATTTCCAGAAGCGTATTTATGAATGCGGTCGTCGGTTGAGTCGCTGGGGAGAGGAATTCTTCAGGCGTTTTGGACACACATGAAACAGCTTCGTGCCAGGTTGGACATTCTCACGGACTCCAGGGAACCACAGGCAGTGCAAGAATATTTGGCGGTGGAAAGGGAGGTAGTAACTTTGTTACGACAAGAAGAGATTTTCTGGAAACAACGGTTGAAACAACTCTGGTTGCAACACGGTGATATGAACATGAAATATTTCCACAAGGCGGCGTCATCACGGCGACGAAGGAATCTGCTGTTGCGAATTAAGGACACGGATAACCACTGGGTAGAGGGGCCGGGGCTGAATACGGAGATTCTTAGATATTACAATGCCATTTTTGAGTCGTCGGGCACGACGACTGGTTTTTTTAGTAGAGTGGCAGGTCGAGTCACAGCGGACATGAATGCGGCGTTGTTACTTCCAGTCACTATGGATGAAATCAAGGTTGCGTTATTTGTAATGGCCCCTGAGAAAGCGCCAGGGCCGGATGGGATGTCACCTGCTTTTTACCAACATTACTAGTCTTTAATTGGGCATGATCTGACTCTGTTCGTTATGAATTGTATCACTAACCGTAGACTACCACAGGGTCTTAACGAATCCAACATTGTTCTGATCCCAAAAAAAAAAAGGTCCCCAAGAAGGTTTCCGATTTACGCCCAATTGCTTTGTGTAACGTGGCGTACAAAGTTCTGGCGAAAACGTTGGCCAACCGGCTCAAGGAAGTTCTTCAGAGAGTGGTGTCGACTTCTCAAAGCGCGTTTGTGCCCGACAGGCTTTTATCCGATAACATCATTGTAGCTGGGGAAGTGGGCCACTTTTTGAGAAGGAAAACTAGCGGGGTGATGGGCTGGACTGCTCTTAAGCTCAATATGGCCAAGGCCTACGATCGGATGGAATGGGGTTTTTTTTGAGGGGATGTTGGCGGCACTGGGTTTTGAGCGTGGACGGATAGATTTGTTAATGATGTGCGTTACGACCGTGACATACAACATTCAGGTTAATGGTGATGCGGTGGGTTCGGTTTGTCCTACTCGTGGCATCCGGCAAGAAGATTCGATATCCCCATATCTGTTTATTTTGTGTGTTGAAGGCCTGTCCATCCTATTACAACAGGCTGAAGCACGAGGGGATATCCAAGGGGTCAGAATCGCGAGGAGAGCTCCATCTGTTTCACACCTCTTCTTCGCGGACGACAGCCTGCTATTTTTCAGAGCTACTCACGGGGAAGCGCAAAAGATAAGAGAGTGTCTAGAGGCTTACAGCGCTGTCTCGGGGCAGGTTATTAACTACGAGAAGTCAAATGCCATGTTTAGCACGAACACTTCCCGGGATACGTGAAACTTAGTGGCAGATTGTGTGGGGTTTAAAGAAGCCGTTGATTTGGGTCGATATTTAGGCCTGCCTTCGGCAATGGGACGCAATAAAACAGCGACGTTTTGTTACATCGAACAGAAGGTCCGGGAGAGAATTGGAGGATGGCACCAAAATCTCCTGTCCAAAGCAGGTAAAGAGGTACTTATGAAAAGCACTGCACAGGCTCTTCCCATCTTCACTATGTCCGTTTTCCTCTTACCTGACCGTGTGTGCTCCACCATTGAGAATTTATTTAATCGGTATTGGTGGGGAGGGGGTGGATCGGGCCACAGAGGTATTCACTGGTTGAGTTGGTCAAGACTTTGTGTTCCAAAGAAACTTGGCGGTTTGGGATTTAAACGGCTACACGAATTTAATGTAGCGCTTTTGGCCAAGCAAGGATGGCGCTTGATGATTTATCCAAATTCTCTGGTGCGTACACTTTTGAAGGCCAAATATTTTCCGCACTGCAACTTTCTTGAGGCACAGTTAGGCAGAAATCCGAGCTATATTTGGCGTAGCATCATGGTAGGTCAATCTCTCTTAAAGAAAGGTGCTGCCCGACGCATTGGTAACAGCATTGACTCTAAGATTTGGGGATGGCCGTGGTTGTCAGATCCGGTGGCCCCGACTCTTAATACTCCATGCATCGACGCTTTGAAGGAGGCTACTGTAGATGGACTGGTCACAACGAATGGAAACTGGGACGTGGACATCCTACGCGATCTCTTTCTTGAGAGTGATGTTACTAGAATCTTGGCAACGCCTTTGTCCATTACCCATCAAGATTCCTGGAGGTGGAAGGGTGACATCCGAGGCATGTACACGGTTATCAATTGCTAACGGCATCCATCACTGAGTTGGGTCCGGTCGACGGTTTCACGGAGTGGAAGCGACTATGGGGCCTACCGGTGCCACCTAAGGTGAAAAGTTTGTTGTGGAGATGTGCTCGTGGTATCCTCCCAGTAAAGGAGATCTTGAAGAGTCGAAGAGTGTGGATTGGAGGAGGCTGCCCGCTTTGTAACCATCCAGTAGAAACCATGGAGCACCTGTTATGCGAATGTGCTCTTGCGAGGCAAGTGTGGGAAGTTGATGACATTCTGAGAGGGCGAACGGTACGGGGTTTCATGGAGGCTATGCTGGGAAGCGATGATGCATGCACGTCCAGCTATCCGCATGGCTGCCGTGTTCTGGGTCTTGTGGAATGCGCGCAACGATCGGGTGTGGAGGGAGGAGACGAAATCTCTAGAGAACCTCCATAATCAAGTCCAAGCGGCGCAAGAGACCTGGGCTGCTGTTCACGCGAGTCCTAGGAAGGCTTCAACACCAGGTGTGACCGCGGCTCTCTAGAAGGCTCCACCACAGGGTTGGGTCAAGTGCAACGTCGACGCTGCTTTATTCGGGGATGGCGCGAGTTTTGGTGCTATGGTTCGCGACCATGCGGGCCTTTTTGTCGTGGCACATAGCGACGAATTGGGACATGTGCGTGATCCTCTTTTGGCAGAAGCGACGGTCGTTGCTAGAGCATTGAGTTGGCTCAGGAGTCTTGGTCTAAATAATGTGATCGTAGAAACTGATTGTTGGAGTGTTTCTATGGCTTTTAATTCTCGTTATTGCGATTTTTCTTACGTAGGATCGATTGTAAAGCAATGTTTGCAGCTTGCTGGTGACATTAGGAACGTCAAAGTTCACCATGTCAAGAGGTCAGCGAATCATATCGCTCATGTGCTTGCACGGGCAACTGGTTCCTCGTCTGTCCTGGAGTCGTGGTTTATTCACCTGCCATTGTGTATCTCTGCTCTTTTAAGTCGTTAATGAAGTTTGTTTGGTTTGGTTTCAAATATTTATATATATATATATATATATATATATATATATATATATATATATGGTTAATAATGAATATTTTCCTATATTAGATTATGTTTATATATGGTTTACCCGTATTAACTATCACTATATTAGATTAATATATAATTCTTTTAATATAATATATTATTAAAACTAAACATATGGTTAATATTTATTAAATATTATTACGAAAGTATTACAATTATAAATTTTACAATTATAGCTTTGTATATGAAAAACTTAGAAACTTGAATAGCTTTAATCAAAATTATTAAAAATAATGTGTCTACAGTACAAAATAAATTATACTTGCTTTAATAAATAATTATTAATATAATTGGCTAATCTGAATTTACAATTATTAATAATTATTTATGGTAATTATTAGGAATTTAAAAAAAGATAAATAAAAAGAAAAAGAAAAACACAAGAGTAAAGCATATATAGATGTCACACAATAATTTTTTTTAAAAAAAAATTGTCATACAATATCTTATATAAGGTAAATTGATATAAAATTTAATAATTACATTGAAATCAAATACAGAAAATATTGTAGGAACATTGCAATATTACAATTAAAAAAATATACTATTATTTTATTGATTTCCAAAAACATCGCCGACCAAATCAGTCATTTCTTCTGGTCGGCGGTGGCGTCGTCCTCTTCAAAGGTAAAAACGGGATAGGAGCAAGAGAGTCCAGCCACAGTCGCGAATGTGATTTTACCGGCGTTCGGATTAGGGATAGAAATATGGGTGAGCGTGACCCAAAGTACCAAACTCCTTACTCCTGACCGCGGTGGCATGGCTTCAGGCGGCGGTCCTCCACGAAAGCGGTGACCTCGTGCATATTACATGTCAATTATAAAGTTGTAATATAATTTTTTCACGGGCGGTGGAAGAAGGAAATGAGAGAATCACCTGGAAGGGAAAAGAGGGATGCAATGTGAAATGAAGACTTATAATATTTTTGGTCATTAACTCATTGTATTTATATGTGAAAAATATGAGAATTATAAATTTGAAAGATTTCTCAAAAGGGAGGAGTGTATTTATTTATTTAAGGTATTCCCCTAATCAATTCATTATATTGATATTCCTAATCAATTCATTATAATAATATTCCTAATTAATTTTTATTGCCAAATACAAATATATATATATATATATATATATATATATATATATATATATATATATATATATATATATATATATATATATATATAGAATCCGGATCAGGTGAGGACCTAATCTTAGGTGATGACGTGAGGACTAATCTTGTGCGTTTGTTTTTTTATTTGGATGGTCCAAATTTGAGTTCTTGAGATGACATGGATTGATCTTTTTTGTTAAAGTGGGATAATAGTGTCTTTTTCTATTTTTTAAGTGTGAACGCATGTATAATCCTGGGCCAAATTGGTTTCCTATTTTCTTGGATCATCACCGTTGCAATTTGGAGCCGCGATTTCTTCATCATTGACTGAGTGTTCGCCCATGTAAACTAATCAGTATTTTTTATTTTTTTTCGCTTGTTCTTTTGAGTATAATATTGTCTATATTTGGATTGTCGTGTATATGTATAAATGCATGGGTTGTACGATTGTGCATTCGTGTGTGCTGATTGTGCAACCTAGTGTTGTAAGTTGTGCACTATAGGCTAGGGAGTTGTGCATTATAGCACATAGTTCAATGCATCGTAGAACATTGGATGTTCACAGTATGATTTTTTGGCGGGATTTGAATGCACAACAATGAAGTTATTGATGCACAACACTCAGTATAGGAATGCACAACACTCAGTATAGGAATGCACATCTTTTAATAAGACCGATTTACCCTGAATTTATATATTTTAATATTTTAAATGGATTTGTTTTCTTAATCCGTGTGATTTGTTTCTTTTAATCTCAATCATACATCATTCTGATTTAATGGTCTAGATTAGTCCTCACGTCCTCACCTAAGATTAGGTCCTCACCTGATCCGGACCATATATATATATATATATATATATGTATTTTACTTTTACCAGTTATTAATAAATTATATCATCAACAAATTAATGAACACACTAAATTTCAAATCGAAAATATATTTAATTATCAAAAATATTTACAACAAAAATATAGTCATATTCATACTACTTCTAACAACATGTTATTTTCATACACCAAAAACAAGTTAGGAACACGAACAAGCATGTACGAGTTCCTCCCATCAAAATAAATTATGTGCTAGCTTGATGACCTCATAACAAAAGAGTAGCTACCACTATCCAAAAAACTTAAACCTACATTTACTAACTACCGGGTTAGGGACTTAGAGTGTGCTTAACCACTAGAAACTACATAGCAGTAAGAGTATTACCATACACCAACAAAAAGTTATTAAAATATATACCGCTTAATCTTCATCACTACGTGCTTGTTTTTCATCATTTGTTGAAGTAGAGTTGTTTATGTTCAAGGAGGCTAACCATTTAGAATTTGGACTGAACTGTGCAAATATAGCACCCATCTTTTCAACCTACTCTTGGAACATCTTGTTCTCTTCCCAAATTTGTTGAATTTCTACTATCAAAGCTGCATTGGAAGATGACGCTCCTAATTTAGAATTTGATCCCCTTGAAGCCTTCGGGGAAGTAATACTGGGTATCTGAGCCAAACCCATATACATAGCCTCCTCTCTTTACATCGCCGGTGGCCTCTAACCACAACTGTGCATTTGATACATCAAGCTGAGTTTGTCGTAAGTCATTCGTTGTATCCTATAGAATAAGACAGAATGTTCACCTACTAAAATAATTTCATGTGATAATTAGAAGATAAGTAATAAGAAGAATATTTCTTACCACAACTTTCTGCGCTTTTCTACAAACATATGCTCCATTTCCACGCTTCACCATCTAAAGAATGACACATAATACCTGGTTGACGGCGATTTTCATAATGCCACCTCATGTGCTCAGCAGAACTTAATTGGTGATGCATACAATCGCTGCAATCTAGGGATGAGAGGCAAGTAATGCATCTTTTTCTTAGGAACTTCTTTCCCACGAGCTCAAGTAGGCGATGGTGGTTTAAACCGAGACTCGCCACAAAACTTACAATGTCTCTCATTGATATCAGACTTATAGTACAACATACAACTATTAACACAACAATCAATCTTTTCGTAATCAAGACCAAACTTTGAAATCAATTTCTCTGAATCATAGTAACTAAATGGTACTCGATTATTTGGACCCATTATATGCTTATTGTACTCAAATATTTGATCCATTGCTAGCTGTGGAATGTCAAAGGTTGCCTTTATATTCATCATCTTCAATGCGTATGACAACTCTGTTTCATCAACACAACTAAGTGACAAATGTTGTCTAGCAGTGTTTAATAAATCATAAAAGTTTTGTGCACTTGTATGTGGCTCTTCTACTTGGTTATTTTCCACATGAAATGGAATAAATGATGAACCACCTACAGCAAACAGCATTGTTTCATATTGATTATTTTCGTTACGTGTCTCCAAAACTTGCTCGTTTACTGTGGGAATAGGTTCACCATGACACGTCCATACCCAATAATACGGTTCAAATCCTTTCTTATACAAGTGAACACGGACATCCTCAGCAAATAAGTGTACTATATTTTTACATTTACTACATGGACACCTAATTGTATTTGTCAACTCGTATACAGAAAGTGTACATGCATACTTAACAAATTGCTCAACACCAGCTAAAAACTCATCAGTGATTTCCCTCTTTTCAGGTAATAATCGATTATACACCCATTTTCGATGTTCTAGTATACTTTCCATATACACCTAGTATTAAAGTACAAGTATCTCAAAATCACAAATATATCTAATAAAAATGTTTAATCTATATATTAATAACACTGCACCACCATATTAATTTTGAAGCTATAATATATATATATATATATATATATATATATATATATATATATATATTTTTTTTTTTTTGAAGTTTCAAAATGAATATGCTCGTTGATAATTATTATAGTATAACTTCAATTCCCAGTGGATAATGGTGAATTTACAACTATAATGGTGAATAATGGTGAATTTACAACTATAATGGTGATAATAGTTCTATATCCATTTTAAAAAAATACAAACACAAATTAAAAGCTAGTATACACAATTAATACCTGAATTTGGAATACACTTTGTTGAAAATCACTCTTTATGTTGTTAAGTACCCGTGAAGAAGCAAGAGAAGAGAGTAATGAAGAAGAAAGTTGAAAAAAAAAAAAAGTGAGCTGAAATACGCATGGCAGATATGAATACTGTTATTTATGTCCAACGTTGTTGTTGCCGGAAATTAAAATACCTACCACCCTTTAATTTTCACCTACCAGTCTATTCAACTTTACCGACCAACAGTACACGTTGGACGGAAATTTCGTCCAACGTCCAGGTTGGACGGAATTGCCGTCCAACTTTCCGTCCACAAAAATTTACTGGCGTAATGTTGTGATTTTTATTACATTACCGACCAACATTAATATTTGACGGAAAATGCGAGATTTCTAGCCGTGGCAGGAGAATAATAGACAGAGTAATTAAGGTAAGAGAAAAACCAAAATACAGAAGAATCATCAATAATTTTATTAATCATCTTCAGTACAGTATATACAAGATATACTAAGTGTTAGTATAACTATATACAATGGCATGTTTGGTTCATGTAATAGGTCAGGAATGGAATAACATATTTTCAAATAGACCTATTCTATTATTTGGTAGGTCATTTTGTGATGGGAATAACATTCCTAGGAATGAGCTATTACCTTTGCAAGGGGAATAACCATTCCTGATGAGACCTTTGGTATTAGCTATTCTCATGTTCTTAGGAATAACTTTTATATCACAAATACCAAAAATACCCTTTGCACATTATTTAATATTTATATTTAATAAATATAATGTATTATATAAATGTATATATTTATATATAAAATTTAATATATCATAATCATAATTATTATTATTATTATTATTATTATTATTATTATTATTATTATTATTATTATTATTATTATTATTATTATTATTATTATTATTTGACAGGATAATAGGGCTGACACCCGACCCGGATCATGAATGGGCATCTGACTCAGCATTGCTTGGGAACCCAACGGGCAGAACTCCAACGGTTAGGAATCCCAACAGGTGTCACCTTACTGTCATTGAAGCCAGCATTGAAGCCCCCATTAATGAGAGAGAATTAAAGGCTAGGCTCCCCATTTATGTCCCATGTTGTTACCGTTAGGACTCTAAGTATAAATGGGGCTCTCCTCACTAGACAAGGACACTGTACTTTCCATACTGAAACTAAGGCAATACAACTATTGTCACTTTCTTATTCGTTACTTTACAATATATTTCCGGTAACATATTTACCGTCATTGGTGCTTTCATTGAGAGTCTGAGTCCAATACTCAAGCAGGCTACGACACACACAACTCATTCCTCTTTCAACAGCAAGCTTGAAAGAATGGTGTCCCGTAGTTCCCATGGTTCCCGCAACATGAACAATGGCAATGCCTCAGGTGACCTCCGGGACCAACTCACCAACAATCGCGGAGGGGACCTCCGAGAACAGCTCAACAACGGGAGGCCCGGGGACCTTCGAGACCAACTCAACAATGGAGGAAACCTTCGAGACCAACTCAGCAATAGAGGAAACCTCCGAGACCAACTCAACAATGGAGGGGCGAACCAAGTCGTGGACCTCCAGGCGACCATCCAGCAAGCGGTGGCAGCGGCACTAAACCAAGTGGCGGTGGGACTACAAGGCCAAGTGCCCCCGCCGCGGCCTCAGGAAATAGAAATAGAATCTCCACGAAGGGTGGATGCCCAGGACGCAACTCGTGCCGCGAGGGTCGCAGGGCGACGCACTAGGACCGGGGGTCCGGGAAAGGGCACCCAGAGAAGCGGACCGGCTGAACGGCAACCTAGGCCCTCCCGCTCTGCCTTAGAACGGTTGGGACACGGGGCGCCCGCTCGGCAAGGGCTGGAGTCGCGTGCCGAGGGGTCCTCCGCTAGAGGCCCTCGCCGACACGAGGAAAGAGAAGCGGAGAGATTGCCCATAGAAAGGATGGGCGAGTCTCGTGGGCCGACCCCGCGCCGCCACGGTGATGAGTCGGCCCCGCGTCGACACTCGGAAGAGCGACGCTTCGACGAACCGACCCCGCGTCGGCACTCGGCGGAGCGACGCGTCGATGAGCCGGCTCCGCGTCGGCACTCAGCGGGCGAACGACGCGTTGGTGAGCGGTTCCACATAGACACTTGGATGGACAAAACGTCGAGGAACCAGCTCCGCGTCGACACTCAGATGGACGACACGAACTAGCCCCATACAAGGAGGACCGGCAGCCGGCCCCGCGCCGGCACCCTGACGAATCAGCCCTGGTCGAAAGGCTGCAGAGAAGGATCGAGGAGTTAGCAAGAAGGGTGGAGGCACGGGAGCAGTCGCCGGAACCCGAGGTACAAATGGCAGCACCATTCTCCCCAAGCATCATGGACGTACCTCTGCCGAGGGACTTCAGGTTACCCGCCATCAAGGCATACACAGGAGCCACTGACCCACGTGTCCACATGACTAGGTACAAGGCTCCTATGGTGATGATTGGGACAGGGGACGCCATCATGTGCCGAGTGTTCTTGTCCACCCTGGATGGAACGACCCAAGATTGGTTCAACACCATCCCAGACGGGTCGATCCAAAATTTTGGAGAGTTGTCCAAAAGCTTCCTGACATACTTCTCTGGTAGCAAACAGCGTAAGAAACCGTTCTCTCACCTGTGCGTAGTAAAGCAGGATAGAGGCGAAAGCCTCAAAGACTTCCTGATCAAGTGGAAAAAGGAAGTCAATAATGTCTATGACTTCGACTCCAAGGCGGCAATCCCTATATTCATCCATGCCTTGAGATCGGGGTACTTTCACAAGCAACTGAATGCCCACCACCCCCGTTCTTACGAAGATTTGATGAGGACGGCTAGCCGCTATGCCGAAGCAGAGGACGTCGACAGGAAAAAGAAAGATGAGGAGGACGGCAGGAAAAATGGGAAACCTGGGAAAGCTGGTCCGTCCAGCCAGGCACCACGTTCGAACCACCCGGCCGCAGGGAAGGGCCGGGACCATGAACGGTCTCGCCTGGTTCCCCTGCGTAACCTAACTCCTCTTACCCATCCCATCAGCGTCATCCTAAAACAGGCTGAGGAGATGGGAATAGTCGAGTTCCCACCAGAGTGCATGAAGGTCTCCCCAAAAGGAGACCAAGCAAAGTACTGCAGGTTCCATAGGCAACCCGGACACGGCACGGATGAGTGTAACGTACTGAAGAGACAAATAGAAGAACTCATCCAGCAGGGCTACTTCCGGCATTTCGTCAAGCGATCCAAGCAGCAACAGCCGCAGCGCGATCCATCAAAAAATCCACCAAAAAATGTTTGGAGGAAGGAGGATGGCGCCGAGCCGTCCACCTCGAACGCCAAGAAAAGAGAACATGACCAGATATCTGGGCAGGATGATAGCGAGAAAGAAACCGAGGTGGCGCCCAGACGACAAAAGAAACACACCATACACTTTATCTATGGTGGACCTGCGGGGGGCGACACACCCACAGAGAGGAAAAAGTGGAGCAGACAGCTGTACGTGGGAGAAGTGGTAAGCCTTCCCAAAGGAAAGAAGCAGAGGCGGGAGGCCATCACTTTCTCTGACGAGGACCTCCCCGAGGGGCCCTTACCCCATCGCGACGCACTTGTGATCAAGATGGATATCAATGACACGGTCGTACATCGCATCTTGGTCGACACGGGAAGCTCGGTTAATGTGATGTACTACGACGCTTTCACCAAGTTAGGGCTACCTAAGAGGCCAGCTCAAAGAGGTACGAACTCCACTCTCTGGGTTTACTGGGGATTTGGTGGAAACAGAAGGGTCGGTGACCCTGCCCGTGGAAATAGGCACGAGCCCCAACATTCGCAAGCTGGACATGGAGTTCATCGTGGTAAGACTCACCTGTGCGCACAACATCATACTCGGGAGGCCAGCACTGGAGGACCTCAAGGCCATAGTATCAGTGGAACACTTGCGTATGAAGTTCCCCACTCTGAATGGAATAGGAGTCGTCAGATGTGACCGACGGGAAGCCCGCAGTTGTTACGTGAAGGCATGCAAGAAGATTGGCAGTAAGGACCTACAGGTCCACACGATCGCGGAGAAAATTTTCAAAGAAGAAGAGGCCTGGCCCCGCGCCGAGCCCGTGTCAGAGGCAGAAGATATAGTTCTGGATCCCTCTAGACCAGACTGAGTGGTGAAGATCGGCACAAGCTTAAGCCCAGAGCTAAGGGCCCAGATAGTGGATGTAATCCGCCGTTCTCACACGGTGTTGGCATGGGGGCCAGAGGACATGCCGGGCATAGATCGAAGGATCATAACCCACAAGCTCGCAGTCGACCCCAGCGGAAAACCAGTGCATCAGCGAAAAAGGTATATGTCGGCAGAACGAAGAGAGTTCGTGAAAAAGGAGGTGACCGCATTACTCAACGTAGGGCACATCAAGGAGATTTACTACCCACAGTTGGCTGAGCAACGTAGTCTTGGCTCCCAAAGGATCAACGTGGAGGATGTGCGTAGACTACACGGACCACAATAGGGCATGCCCTATGGACCGTTTTCCACTACCCAATATAGATCAATTGGTGGATGAGACGGCAGGGTGTGAACTCATGAGCTTTATGGACGCCTTCCGTGGGTACCATCAGATATCCATGCATGAGGAGGACGCCGAGAAGACCGCCTTCACCACTCCCGAGGGGATATTCTGCTACTTGGTCATGCCGTTCGGATTGAAAAATGCCGGGGCCACATACACTCGTATGGTGGCAAAGCTGTTCAAGACAGTACTAGGACGAAACATGGAAGCATACGTGGACGACATGATCGTCAAAAGTCGCAAGGTCACCTCCCATGTAGAGGATCTCAATGAGGTATTTTCCATTATGAAGAAATTTAATTTGCGCTTGAACCCAAAAAATGCACCTTCGCCGTCGATGGGGGCAAATTTCTGGGCTTCATGGTCACTAGGAACGGCATTGAGCCGAACCCAGAAAAAGTAAGGACTATCCTTGACATGGAGCCTCCGCGGTCCATAAAGGAAGTCCAGAGACTCAACGGGCGCCTGGCGGCCTTAGGCCGTTTTCTATCTAAATCGGCTGAACGTTCCCTCCCCTTTTTCCAAATCTTGAAAAAGAGCAAAGGGTTCGAGTGGACACCAGACTGTCAAAAGGCCTTCGAAGAGTTGAAAAAATACTTGTTGTCCCCGCCCCTGCTTGCAAAACCAGAGGCAGGAGAAACCCTAATCCTGTACTTAGGCGTGTCACAGGGTGCGATCAGCTCCGTGCTGGTCAAAGAAGAAGGAGGGACTCAGCGTCCCATCTACTATGTAAGCAAAGCCCTACATGACGCGGAGCTCCGGTACAGTGTGTTGGAGAAAACAGTATTTGCCATAGTCACTTCATCAAAAAGGTTGGCTCACTACTTCCAAGCTCACCCCATCCACGTACTCTCACATCAGCCGTTGGGGAGCTTCCTACGGAATACTAACAGCTCCGCCAGGATGGCACGATGGGCCATGCACCTCAGCCAGTTTGACATAGATTTCAAACCAAGACCCGCCATCAAAGGCCAAGCTCTTGCAGACTTTATAGTGGAGTGCACAACTCGGGAAGTGACGGACCAGGTAGAAACTGAAGATGGAGGGTGGTGGACCTTGTCCACAGACAGCTCTTCAAACAGCAAAGGTTACGGCAGTGGCGTAGTGCTCGTCACTCCGGAGGGATTCCGCGCCTACTATGCCATCCGATTCCACTTCAAATTATCTAACAATGAGGCAGAGCACGAGGCCCTCTTCAATGGACTGCGATTGGCGGCGGGACTACGAGCTGAAAAGGTCCAAATTCGATGCGATTCCAAGCTGGTGGTCAGCCAGGTGTCTGGGGAGTATGAAGCCAACGAAGGAAGCATGCAGAAATACAGAGACGCGGTGTTGAGAACCCTGCGCGAGTTTGAGGGATATGAGATACACCAGGTACCTAGAGAGCAGAACGCCGACGCCGACATGCTCTCAAAGCTAAGTACCGGAGTCTCTAGCCACATTAGGAAGATCGCTCGACTAGAAGACCTCGAGACTTCAAGTATCGACGTTTCGTGGGTCTTCCCTGTGCAGACTAGGGAGCCATGTTGGATTGATCATATCAAACGATACAAGGCAGACGGCACCTTACCGCAAGACGAGGCAGACGCAAAGGTAACGAAGTTACGGGCACCCAACTACGTTTTCTCGGGCGATAAACTGTACAAACGCTCCTACAACGGCACGTTACTGAGGTGTCTATATCCAGATGAAGCGAAGTTGGTGATAAAAGAAGTCCACGAGGGGGTATGCTCCGCGCACCAAGGGGCGTACACCATCGCACGCCGCATCATGTTACAAGGGTATTTTTGGCCCAAAATGCTCAGGGACTGCGCCGAGTATACAAAGCGATGTCCCAAGTGCCAAGAATTCCAAGCACTGCCGGGTCGACCTGCGACGAACTACACCCCGGTAAGCACCGCGATTCCTTTTTCGAGATGGGGAATTGACCTGGTAGGGGCCCTTCCCATGGGGACTGGAAGCAGGAAGTACATCATTGTGGCCATCAACTATTTCACGAAATGGGTGGAGGCCGAGCCCCTGGCAAGCATCACCGCAGCAAGGTGCAAAAGGTTTGTCGAGAAAAACATCCTGTATCGTTTCGGTATCCCTCTCCAGGTAATCACAGACAATGGCCGACAGTTCGAGGCACGAGAATTTTTAGAATTCTTAGCAGGATGGGGCGTTAAGCATAGCTGGGTGGCAGTATCTTATCCTCAGGCGAATGGGCAAGTGGAGAATGCGAATAGAACCATCCTCGACGGCCTCAAGAAAAAGCTAGAAGTGGCTGGCGGAGCCTGGGTGGAGGAACTCGACGGCATCCTCTGGGCCTATCGCACGACACCAAGAAGGGCCACCGGAGAAACCCCGTTCGCACTCGCCTACGGATTTGAAGCTCGGGCCCCGGTGGAAGTAATCATACCTAGTAGAAGGGTGGAGGAATTCGAGTCAGAACAAAATGAACTCCACCAAAGGGTGGATCTGAACTTCTTGGATGAAAAGAGAGAGGCGGCATTCTGCAAGATGGAGAACTACGGTCATCAACTAAATTCCTACCACGACGCAAAAGTCCGACCCCGGTACTTCCAAGTCAGCGACCTTGTGCTGCGAAGAAGGGAAGCCAGTCAACCCCTTGAAGGGGGAAAATTCATAAAAAAGTGGGAGGGGCCTTACGTCGTGGAGGAAGTCGTTCGCCCAGGGACATACAAGTTAAAAACTACACGGGGAAGAATGATCGATCGGGTATGGAACTCGGAACATTTGATCAAGTATTTTCCTTAAAAATCATGTAGTAGCAATCATTAGAACTAGTGCTTGGCAATCGCGGTCCGTCCGCTCTACACGCTAAAAGTTCTGGGAAATAATATCTTACTTTCATGGTCCGTCCATGTTACTTAATAAAACAAGATCGTTATCATCTTTTACAAAATTTTCTGAAATAATATCTCGTGCTCGTGGTCCGCCCATGTTAAAAAAAGAAAAAAAAAAAAAAAACAAAGCTCCGATGGCCGAGGCGCACGCCTCGACCAACGCCAAGTCTGTCTCGGCAAAAAAAAAAATGTTTATTCCAAGTACTTAGTTTATTCTGAATATTCTAAGATAGTAGCAAGTTATTCAAGAACAGAAAGCAAATTGTTCAAAGACATAGCTAGAAAGCAAGGGAAAATCTCAAGACTACGAACTACTCATGATCCGAGAGCTCCTCAATCATAATCTGATCCAGTGGAACATTGGGGACGTTGCTAGTGTCGATGCCGTGAAACTCGTCCACCAAAGAATCCTCACGAGCGTCCGTAACATCATTAGTGGATTCATTCTCAGCATTAGGATCCGGATTCTTCTCTATCACAGGCAAGCCAAGGGACACGGGGTCAAAATTTGGAACCTTCTCCCTCAGCACTGAAAAGATCTCCTGTTGCTTCGTGTACCGCCTAATGTTAAAAGCCACCTGTGCCTCAGCCTCAACCGCCTCTTGACCAGCCCCAGTCTTGAGGAATTCTCGGATAGCCTCAGGAGTGCACATGTAGTGCATCGCGTCCTTCCCTAAACTCGGCGGAACTCTTGTAGACCTCCACAGCCCGGCCGAGGTCGTCGGCATGGCCAGCACGGGTCCTCTCGTGGTCCTCCCGCTCCTTCACGATGGCAAGTTTAGCCGCTCCGTGCTCTTTCCTCAGGGCCTCAAGTTCGCCCTCCATCTTGCTTATAGCCTCCGCCCGAGCCAACAGCTTTTGGTGTTCTTTCCTTAGCGCCCCGAGCTCGCCTTCCATCTTGCTCAAGGCCCCTTCCCGGATCGATAGCAGGTCCTTGAGTCTCTTGTTGTCCGCGTCCCTAATTTTAACATCCTCAATGAGCGAGTCCGTCACCCGCCGTCGCTGGGCATGAATGATCTGTCCCTCTAGCAGGGCCTGAAAGTAACAAACAAAGTAAGACACACGCCAGGGCAGAGAGGGAACATTAAGTATGAAAACGCTAACCTCAAAAATGTGCCTGAGATAACGCTCTTGCAGCATGTTGACATCCATGGCGACAAGGTGTTCCAAGTCCGCAGGAGGAGCGATACGAGCAGCATACTCAACCGCATCAAGGCTCTTATTTATCAACGACGCTCCGGGTAGCACGTCCATGCCCAGTCGGATCAAGTTGGTCCGAACACGCGAGCCAGACTCATTGGAAGTATCTCCTTGCACCTCGGGGGGTTGAGGGGAAAAGGTAACGGCCGTGGGTGTGCGAGTCGGTGGAGGCTGCGTCACCACCTCGGCAACCTTGGCTAGAGTAGGCGTACGCACCCTCTCGGCGACCTTGGTTGGGGTAGGCGTACGCTCAACGACCTTGGATGGGGTCGGCGTGCGTGCTGGCGGAGGCGGCATCACCTCCGTGGCCTCGGCTTAACTCTTCTTTCCTTTCTCCACCTTGCTATTCTTAGAGGGGGGATCCGGTCGCGACAAGTATCGGCTAGTTCTTGAAGTTGAAGACATGGTACCTGCAATAAAAAGAAGACAAGTTAGAGTTAGTGGTTGACGAATAAATACTGAGTGGAAACTGAAGAGTACCCGTGGGTGAAAGAACAGCCGGATGAGCCCTCACGAAGCCTAAGCCTGCGAGCTTCCACTCGGTAATATAATCAACTATCGATAAAAGACCATCCCCCAGTAAATCATCTATATCTCGGCGGAGGGAGGGACTCATGTCAAGAGTAGGAGGGCAACGTAAATGGGATCCCCACGTAACACGAAAGGGAAACGGACAACCCACAAGGGTGACAAAGACATATTTGGGTTGCCAATCCTTGTTATAAGTAGGACGGTCCTCAAAGAGTTTGAAATGCGGCCTGCTCGAAATCTGGACGAATCCCTTACCCTCCTGAGAAGCCCTACCAACTATGAAAAGAGCCTGGAAAAGATCTAGCGTGGGTTCTATCCCTTTGTCCTTACATATAGCAAGAAAGCCCGCAATTACCTGGTGACCATTGGGAACAAACTGGCCGGGGACTATCTCATAGTGGTTCATAAAATCTACCACAAACCCATGGAGGGGAAACCGCAGCCCAACCTGTAGCGACAGAAGGTGGACCCCAAAATGCTTATCCAGGGGTGGGTCGGTGATATTACCCCGAGGGTCAGGAGGGAGAGTCAGAACGTCAGGACTAAGGAGACCTCTAATATCATCCCAATCTCGTTCCCCTAATTGAGGCTGTATGGACAAGACAAGGGACTTATCAAGAACAGAATAGGAGGCCTTGCGTTTTTTCTTCTTTTTCATTTGGGGCTTAGGTGTAGGCGAGTCAGCAACAAACGGAAGAGGGGGAAAATTTTCAAAAAGAGGGGAATCATCAAGAAGGTATTCCTCATCAAAATCAAGTTCTCCAACATCAATCAAGGGAGTGACATCCATTATGAAGCAAAAGACACTAACCTCACCTCAGTTACAGATAAGCTCGCAAGACTTGGGTACAAAAACTGCCTGTCAGGAAAATAGCGTGTCAAAAAAATAAATAAATAAATAAATAAATTGGCTGAGGCCGCGCCTCGGCCAAGTGGCTGAAGCGCACGCCTTGGCCACAAGCCGGAAAAAAAAAAAAAAAAAAAAAAAAAAAAAAAAAAAAAAAGGGGGGGGATGAGGCCGTGCTTCAGTTAAGGCCGAGGCACACGCCTCGGCCACAAGCCGAAAAAAAAAATAAAGGGGGTGGCTGAGGCCGTGCCTCAGCCAAGGCCGGGGCGACGCCTCGGCCACAGGCCGATTCAAAAAAAAATATAAAAAAATATAAAAAAATTTCATATATATTAAATACAGGCGTATACTCGTATATACATGAATACATTGTAAGATAAATTGCAAAATAATAAGGACAGCGGAGACTTACAGAGCTGTGGCAGAAAGTTGTTGAAGAAGTGCTCTCAAACTGCTCAGAGAGACAGGGGTTTATATTGGAGAGGAGCTTGAGATAAAAAAGTTAAGTGAAGCAGGAAAAGATTGGGAAAGCACAAATCAGGGATTTGGAAGGCAAGTTAGGGATTTGGAAAACAAAACCAAATATCCTAAATCAAGCAGAATTCTACACAGGATCAAATAAAATATCCTAAATCAAGAGGATCTTACACAAGATCAAAATAGATTCAGCTTTACTCCCAAGTCAACTCAAACACATCCGTTGACTCAGGAGTAGGGGGGACTGGTGACAGGATAATAGGGCTGACACCCGACCCGGATCATGAATGGGCATCTGACTCAGCATCGCTTGGGAACCCAACGGGCAGAACTCCAACGGTTAGGAATCCCAACAGGTGTCACCTTACTGTCATTGAAGCCAGCATTGAAGCCCCCATTGATGAGAGAGAATTAAAGGCTAGGCTCCCCATTTATGTCTCATGTTGTTACCGTTAGGACTCTAAGTATAAATGGGGCTCTCCTCACTAGACAAGGACACTGTACTTTCCATATTGAAACTAAGGCAATACAACTATTGTCACTTTCTTATTCGTTACTTTACAATATATTTCCGGTAACATATTTACCGTTATTATTATTATTATTATTATTATTATTATTATTATTATTATTATTATTATTATTATTATTATTATTATTCACCCGCGCAATGCACGGAAAAAAATTATGCTATTATAAATATAAATAAAAAATAGAAAAAATAAAAAGATTTTAAATTATTTAATATAATAATATTTTTGGGCTTCCAAATATTTGGTCAAGTATTTATTATTTTCATTGGACAAAATTAAAATTAAAATTTTGTATGGTTAAAATAATATATAATCATGTACATATTCAAATAAACTTATAGAGAGTATTTACATAATTACATTGATTTATTCCTAATTGTATTTTATCTATATTATAATTTCCACAATATGAGTAATAACTAAGATAATTATATTTAGAAAGAAAATTTCAAATTTTGTATGAGTAAATTTAAATTCTAATTGAACACATTTTTTTTATATGATTATATAATATATTCTTCATGCACATGTCATTCCATAAGCTCAAATGTCATTTTATAAGCCCAAGACCACTTTTTATGGAGATAATTCAAATGGATTTAGAAGTCCTAAGTTTAGAAATCGAGACAAACATTCAAAGGGTCATACGATATATACATTTATATATTTAAATTTCATTTATGGCTCAAATGATTTTTTTTAAAAAAAATTTGAAGTCCAATAATTGATCCATGACCCGCATATAAAACCTAAAATCCTAGATTCAGACAGCATTTGCTTTCTTCCTCCCTTCTCGCTTCTGCCATTTCACTCTAACATCTCTGTATCCCTATTATAAAACCTTCATTACAGACTAGGAATCCAATCTATAATCCGGGCGGCTGAAATTGTTCATTTCACGATTCGTTACATACTTCCGATCTTCGATCTAGACGGTGCACACCTCGTGCCCGGTTGGATGAAAGAAAATTCTAAATCCATGTTAGTCGAACATATGGATCTCACATGGCTGTCAACAACCAGGGGGTGGATAAATTTATAACACCGATCTGGAAAAATAAAAAAAAGAATGCCACACTTCCAACAGGGTCTACGCACCTTGTAAGGTAATAATACAATTTCCTGCAATTGTAAGAGTCTACGCACCTTGTCCAGAATCTTCTCGCCATCTTTTATGGCTTATCTTATGGGTAGCCATAGGTGATCTACTTAAACCTTGGTTTTGTAGTGAAACTATACACGCTAGATTTGGATTGAACCTTCAAATAAACTATTTCCTGTTCATGTTTGTGTTGTTGTTGTTTGTAATCAGGTTTTGTCTATGAAGAAATGAACCAATATTTATTGATGAAGAAGCTAACTAGTATAAATAGTATATACAGGAGAACAAGTAGCTAAGAAGTTGTAACCACTACTCTAATATACCTATTCTAAAGGAATATAATTTGAATAAGTATAAACAGAAAACATCAACCACATATATTCTTAACATGCCCCCGCAAGATTGAGGATCCGTCGGAGACTCCAATCTTGGACCGAAATCGGATAAACAAGCGACGACCAAGGGGCGTGGTTAAAAGATCAGCCAGCTGCGCAGATGAGGGAAAATGATGTACAACCAGCACACCAGCCGGAACCAAACCAC